ATATGATTTTACCTTTCACAGTATTTTTAGTAATTAATGCTCATATGAAGGATAACCATCCGATAGTTTGAAAATATATGGGTCTCATAGATATGAATTATGAATTATATGACATTTCTGTTCCCAGTAGAGCTGGATGAGTGGGGGTTAGAATGCCTCTTTTCAGGTGTAACTCACCTATTCAGGTTAAGTCACCTTAGCTACTGTGGGTAGAGATGAGAAGAATGTACAGAATGCTCTGACTTTGCCTTTGTCTGCAGATGTTGCTGTGGTCAGCTCACCAATCAGCATATCCCTCCTCTGCCAAGTTTAACACCCAACAAAAATGAAGAGGACAACAAACAGGTGGAGACTCTGCCTGAAAAATGGTCTGTCAGCAAACACACCCAGAGCTTCCCAACTGATTCCTATGGGACTCTCGAATTCCAGGGCAGCGGGTACTCTAATAAAGCCATGGTAAGAGGGCCATAGGTATGGAATGCCACTGAGGCCACAGCCTTTGTCAGAGGCAAGCTTTCCACATCACCAGACTATGGGTTCCTGGGTACTTCAGGGGTATCATTCAATCTTTCTAGATGTTGCATTGCAGAGCATCTATCCATGCACATGACTTTTTATCCATAAGCTTTGGAAATGACACCATTGCAAAGAACATACCATGACCTTCAAATCTATAACAAAACTGAATCCGCAAACCAAATCCAACCCAACAATGCCAACTTCAGTGATGGGAGAAATCATTGGGCATTTTTAATAACATGTAGACCTGAAAACCTCCATAGATATGTGGGAAGACTCTGGAGAGTTTACTTCTGAAATACTGCCATAGTCTCTCTTGGCAGAAGCCTTCCACATTTGCACATAAAAAAAGAATGCGCTCTGACATTTTGATGACTCCTACCAGACAGGGAAACAACGTGGGCTGTTTCAGCTAATTCTGAATAAAGCTTCCACAGGCACAGCCAGACTTTTTCTGCAATTTCATTTTATCACTAGCCCAACATCATTTTTCAAATAAAAATCAGCTTTTTCCAAAACATTATAACATATCATCTTCCAGAGGAACACCCTGCATAGTTCATGGACACAGAGAAATGATTCTAATGAACTAAGTCATTTGGCTGTTAATCTATTCATCCCTGTAAGTAGAACATCAAGTCCAGAGTCTGGTTCATGATCCCTGTTTCCATCACCCATTCAATGTGCCCAGTGGTCCCCTGATTCCACAATATCTTTGTCCAATCACTTAGGACATGACTCTACCTGAGAAACTGTTAGAACTAATTCCACCAAAGTTAGTGCTGCCAAATAGAACACTGGATACTCAGTGACTTTGAATTTTAGATCCAAACACAGATAATTTTTTCATATATGACTACGGGTTTTGTGGAGTCCTGGTGCGGTGCTGTGGGTTAATGTGCTGAATTGCAAGGTTGAACTGTAAGGTCAGTGGCTAAAGCTCATCAGCCACTCCTCAGAAACCCTATACAGGGTTACTATGGGTCAGAACTGACTTGATGGCACTTAACAACAACAACAACAACAGTGGATTTTATGTTCCAAATATTGCATGGAACACATTTACATTGAAACTTTTTCTGGAAGTCAAATGTAACTGGGCACCTTGCATCTTTATTTGCTAAATCTGACAACGTCGCTGAAGTTTCCCTTCATTCTTTTGTCCACATAGTTCTTGCTAAAACATGAATGATAGCACTTTCCTCTTTGACATGAGAAACAAAATTAATAATGGCTGCTTAACATCACACACTGTTTTGCAGTATATCCGTGTATCCTATGACACCAAACCAGATTCACTGCTTCATCTCATGGTGAAAGACTGGCAGCTGGAACTCCCCAAGCTCTTAATATCCGTGCATGGAGGCCTCCAGAACTTTGAAATGCAGCCCAAACTGAAGCAGGTCTTTGGGAAAGGGCTGGTCAAGGCAGCCGAGACCACTGGGGCCTGGATTTTCACCGGGGGAGTCAGCACTGGTGAGAAGGGGCTGTCCCTTTATGTACTTAAATATGTACCCAGAACCCATTGTGGCTCCAAAGAGCTTCCTGATTATTAAGATCAAATCCAAATCCACAGCATTTGATAACATTTACAATCAAAGTGAAATCTTTAGTCAGTAGCTTGTTGCTTTATTGTGTGTGTGTTTTTGTAATTGTTTTTCAGCAGGTGCTGGGTGGATTCTATTTTAAAGCAGTAGTTTGAATCCACCAGCCACTCTACTGGAGAAAGAGGAGGCATTCTGCTCCCATAAAGATTTACAGCCTCAGAAATACTGTACAGGGTCACCAAGAGTCAGAACCGACTCAACCGCAAACCACCACCACTACCAAGTATCATCATGATAATGATAGTGGTCAATATTTCAGGGATGTCCACCAGGTGCCACTACCCCAAATGAATCATGAACAAGCATTTTCTTCACTGAGCTTTCCTCATTGTATGGGAGAGAAGACTGGGGCACAGAGAAACTAAGTAACATGTCAGACAGTATGGTTTTCATCTTAGCTAAATGCAGGTAAAGTAGTCACAAGAACCTCGGTTACTTCTTCCTGTTGATCTTGGAAAGTTATGAAGGAAACCTCTGCACATTTTTTTGAGTTCTGTTATAATTTTCTAGAAGCCAACAAAGGAGCATGATTTACTATGATGAACTGCGGTTTTCAGTGTGCTTTCTTCTACTGATGAAGATCATTAGGTCACAGCCTTGTTCCATAGGGAGTATGTGAGTTCCAAGTGGGTGTCCATCAAACTCATGAATGGTGGTATAACGGGGACTAGAAGTCACTAAAAATATGCCTTACGGTCTTTTGTAGGTATCATCAGACATGTAGGGGATGCCTTGAAAGACCACTCCTCCAAGTCCAGGGGCCGAGTCTGTTCTATCGGGATTGCTCCATGGGGCATCGTGGAGAATAAGGAAGACTTGATCGGAAAGGATGTGCGTATCTTTCTCTATATACATTGCAATGTGTGTGTGTGTGTGCAAATTGAGCTTTTTATCGTGAACGGAGTAAAGGTATAGAGAGAAGATCATCAACTTTACATTCAACCAATCATACACTCCATTTACATTCAACCATACACTCCATTTACATTCAACCAATCATACACTCCATTTACATTGAACCAATCATATGCTCCATTTACATTCAATCAATCATATACTCTATTCCATCTCCATTGTAATCCCCTCAATGTAATGCCACTTAGCACGCTGCCTCCTTGTCACTCTGGTTTCCGTTCTTCCTTCTTTCCCCACCCTTCTGAACTTTGTCCTTAAATAAATGCTGCCCTTTAGATCTCAAATGATGGACAATTCTATGTGTATTTCACTAATCTTGTTGTCCCCCCTACATACCTATCTATTGCTTGGCTGAAAATTGAGCCAAAGGGATGAGTTCAATTCCTGACCTGAAGGATGGACAAGGATGATAGTCTTGGGATTTCACTAGTCTCTATCTGACCAATAAATCTGGTCTTTTTCTTTTCTTTTTTTAGTTTTGTTCCACATTCTCTCCCACTTTTTTCAGGATATTCTAATGTGACCATCAGAGCAGTTGGTAGTGGTAACCAGGCACTAGCTAGTTCTTTTGGCCTCCTGGTTGTGGTTACTGGTGTCCATGCGCTCCGTTACTCCATGGGACTAATTGATCCCAAGCATCTTCAGTTTCCATCACTTTCATGTTTCCCACACACATGGAGAGACCAAAAGTTGCAGCTTAGACAGCCACTCATGAGCCTTTATGATCCCAGCCACTGCTTACCAAAGTAGAATGTAGTCTTTGTGATATACTGCGATATACTGACATTAGTGATTTTTTAACAGTTAAACTCTTCTTTGCGATATGTGTAGATTCACATGAAGTTGTAAGAATTAATACAGAGAGAACCTTTTTGCCTAGTTTCTCCCAGTGGTAAAACCTGGAAAAATTATAGCATGCTCTCACCCCCAGAATATTGGCATCGGTACAGTCAAGATTCAGAACGATTTCCAGCACCCCAAAGGCTCTTTGATAGCCACACCCATTTATTTCCCACCCACTCCATAACCTAAGGCAACCACTTATACGTTCTCCATTTCTATAATTTTGACCTTTCAGGAGTGTTATATAAATAGGAGCATAGAATTCATGGCGACCCATGTATGTAGAGTAGATGGGTCCATAGGGTTTTCAAGGCCATGACCTGTCAAATGCAGATTCTAGGTCTTTCTTCTGACGTGCCTATGGGTAAATCTGAACTGATAACTTTTTGGGAAGTCCTCTACTGTTTGTGGGCTAGATGTCAACAAACAACAACATATATACATATATATTTGTTGCTGTTGTTAGGTGCCATCGAGTCGGTACTGACTCATAGCGACCTTATGCACAGCAGAAGGTCCTTATGCCCGATCCTGGGCCAACCTCACTACTGTTGCCACGCTTGAGTCCATCTATGCTGCCACTTGGCCAATCCATCTCACTGGGAGTCTTCCTTTCTTTCTCTGACCCTCCACCTGAGCAAACATTATATCCTTCTCCAGTGACTGGTCTCTCCTGACAATATGTTAGAAGTATGAGAGACAAAGTATGGCCATCTTGGCCTCCAAGGGGCACTCTGGCTGCACTTTTTCTTTTGGTTCTTTTGGAAGGCCATGGCACTTTCAATATTCTCCTCCAACACCATAACTCAAAAGCATCAATTCTTCTACGGTCTTCCTTATTCACTGTACAGCTTTCGCATGCATTCTGAAGTAACTGAAAATGCCATGGCTTGGGTTAGGCGCACCTTAGTCCTCAAGCTGACATCTTTGCTCTTCAACACTTTAACAAGGTCTTGTGCAGCAGATTTGCCTAATGCAATATGTTGTTTGATTTCTTGACTGCTGCTTCTGTGTGTGTTGATAGTTGATCCAAGAAGAAAGAAGTGCTTGACAACTTCAATCTTTCCTCTGTTGTTAAGAAAGTTGTTTATTGGTCCAGTGGTGAGGATTTTTGCTTTCTTGACATTGAGATGTAATCCATACCAAAGGCTGTGTTCTTTGATCTTCATCAGTAAATGTTTTAAGTCCTCTTCACTTTCAGCAAGCAAGGTTATACAATCGCAAAAGGATATATATATATATATCTTTTACAATTGATTTTTTTTTCACTCCACATAACTCTCTGAAGATTCATCCTGAAGGTTGCAGCTCGTATCTATAGTTTGTTCGTTTTTATTGCTGTGTAACATTCCACTGTTTGTTTAACCACTTATCTATTGAAGACAGTTGGATTGTGTCCAATTTGATGCTATTATAAATAAATCTTCAATATACACTCATGTACAGGTTTTTGTATGAACATAAATTTTTATTTCGCTAGTACAAATGCCTTAGCATTGCAATGATTAGATTATGGTGATATAAAATGTGAGATTGCTATGATCTAAAATACATTGTTTGTGCTTTGTTTGTTTGTTTTAATTATACTATAGCAATCTGAAAATCACTGTCACTAGATAGGGTAGGGACATGAGAACAGACCCAAACTCACAATTACATAAAGCCATTACCATGAACATGCCTATGCTGCTGGCTTCCCCTGCTGGTCCTAATCTAAATTCTGCAGCTCTGATTTGTGTTTATCAGGTCACCAGAGTATACCAGACCATGTCTAACCCTCTGAGTAAGCTCTCCGTGCTCAACAACTCACACACTCATTTCATCCTGGCTGACAATGGCACCCTGGGCCAATACGGTGCAGAGGTGAAGCTGCGTAGGCAGTTGGAAAAGCACATCTCCCTGCAGAAGATCAACACAAGTAAGTTCTAGCTAAAATCAGTGTCACGTCCATGAAAATCTGGCTGAAAAAGAAACTTCCCAAGGGTTTGCTGCTCACTTAACCCTCTGGGTGTTTAAGTGTTTTGACCTTGATTCTCTCTGGATCAATGACAATGGTTTACTTAAGGCCCTTAACTTATCCATCCACCAAATAACGTCCACCAGGCTATACTTTGATGTCCCAAGTTTATAAGGAGGGTTGACAACAAGAAACAACTTGCAATGGTTGACATGGGATGGTCCACCGGACTGACCAATGGTTCTTGCTCCCTGTAATTATGGTAGATGTTTTTTAAATGCCTTAACAGGAAAGAAATTCACACTGCAAAACTCAGTATGATTCCTCCTGCCATCTGATGGGTATTATGTGATCACTTGTTATCTCTACGGTGCTGAGTCTGTCATCTACAGTAAGAAAGCCTAGGTGGGGGACCTCTGGGGAGAGTGGCCGGAACCCTCAGTGATGGGGGGCGGAGCAGTCCTGGGGAGAGCTGCCACAGGCAAACACTGACTTAGATAGGACTGAGATCAATCAGTGCACATCAACCAGATAACAGTGGATAGAATTAAAATAAATTAACTCTTGGAACATGTTCATACTGCAACAGTTATTTTTGTCAAACAATTGCTAAGTGATCTTAAAAAATACATTATTTTGACTAAAAATAGTAAGATTTTGTGAATAAAACTCTAGACGTGAAAACCTGGTATATATAAAGCACAATTACAGGACTCTGGTGGTTCCGTGTTTAAATTCTTCCCTTCCGTGCAAGAGACCTGGGTTTAATTCCTGACCAATGTACCAAGTGTATAGCCACATGTCAGTAGAGGCTTGCATGTTGCTATGATGCTGGAAAGGTATCAGAAGAGTTTTCAGACTAGGAAGGAAAGCCTGATGAACTACTTCCTAAAATTTGTCAATGGAAGTCTGTGGATCACAGGGTCTGATTCAGAGCGTGTCGTGAGACTGGTAGCATCTCATTCCATTGTGCATGGGGGCTGATTTGATGGCAACTAACAACAGTAAATAAAAACTAAGAAAATGCTATTTGTGGTGCTGTGTGTTAATACACAGGACTGAAAAGTCAGTTCGGACTGCAAGGTCAGGAGTTCAAGCTCACCAGGCACTCCTCAGAAACCCTATACAGGGTCGTTATGGATCAGAACTGACTCAACAAACTTCACAACAGCAAATAAAGCATAATGTGACTGTGCCTGAACACAAGTGGTTCGAATAGGGATGGTAGAATACACGGAGTCATGAATTTCCAAGAATCACATGTTACTGATAATTTGGCTGATGACAAAAGTTTTTGTTCTCTCCTATTTGCTTCTTCTGAATTAGTGAGTTTCACTCTACCCAACCTCACCTGGCCATGTGACCAGTGGGCTTCCCTTTGTCATCCTTTGCCTAGGGCTCTGTATGGGGCAAGGACAGCAAAGGGCTGCTCAGTTGTCACCTCTCACAGCATGGAACTTTAAGGAGTCCATCTAAGCCAAGAATAACCAATTCTACTCTTTCTAGAAAAGACGGCAATTTGGCTACGCAATTCCTGAAGATCGAAAGACAAAGTCTGGGGTGGGGTTGGAACTCTGTAGAGTGGGTCCATGCCAACTTGTTCCTGTGTCTTCAATGCCTCCTAGTGAAAGTTTGGCACAAAACAGACAAAATAAAACATGTTTACTGAATGAACTGAAGTCATCCAGTGGTGGTGGTGATTATGTGCCATTGAGCTGGTTCTGACTCATAGTGACCCTGTACAGGGTTTCCAAGGCTGTAAATCTTTACGGGAGCAGATAGCCTCATCTTTCTCCCATGGAACAGATGGTAGTTTCAAACTGCTGACCTTAAGGTTAGCAGCCCGATTCATAACCACTACGCCACCAGAGCTCCATAGAAACTATACCGAGTTGTTATGAGTCAGAACCAACTTGATGACATAAAACTACCACCACACCGTTGCTTCTTTAGGAGAAATGTAAGCGTTATGATGATTCACTTTCCACAGTCTAAGGCTCCGTGATTGTCCCCATGTCATAAGGCTGGAAATTGAATCAGCATCTCTCACTGGTCCAACTCCCCTTTCACTACTTCACCCTTTGGGACACAGCCATCAAGGGGGGAATTTCAGCCACAAATTTGGCAGCAAGGGAGGTATATTTTTCAGCAAGGAGTGTCTTCCTATGTTTTTCACATCTTACTTCAAAATAACCTTTATATTAGACAAGTGAGGCATAAAGTTTGACCACACATGATTCAAAGAGTTCTTGATTTTAAGTTCTAGTCTTTCCAATGAGGACGCAACACAAGGTTGAAATAAAAGAATGTAAACCATCAACATCAGCCTGATTCCTTCAAACATTTCTTTCAACTTTAGCACCATATGGAGCATGGTGGTGGTGGTTGTGTCACTGAGTCGCTTCTGACTCATAGTGACCCTGTGTAGGGTTTCCAAGGCTGTAAATCTTTATGGGAGCAGAAAGCCTCATCTTTCGCCCACAGAATCACTGGTAGATTTGAACTGCTGACCTTGTGGTTAGCAGCCTAGTTTGTATTTCAGTCTACTAACCAGGGCTCCTTATATGGAGCATAGGTCAGGTCATAAAGCCTTTGCTCTTCACCAAACCTCAAAAATGAAAATGGAAAAAATGTGGTGCTGAGACATGGGTCCCATTGGGGAATGTGGTTTGTATTGCAGGACTGGGGCAAGGTGTACCCGTCGTGGGCCTCGTGGTTGAAGGGGGTCCTAATGTGGTTTCTATTGTCCTGGAATATCTCCAAGAAGACCCTCCGGTCCCTGTGGTGGTTTGTGACGGCAGCGGACGCGCCTCGGACATTCTGTCTTTTGCACACAAGTACTTTGAAGAAGGAGGGTAGGAGTTTTGACATCTTTACAAGGGTGGGTTTTTAATGGCCTCTTGGTTAGTCCAAGGAGAAAATCTTAGCCATTCCAAAACTGCTTACATAAGAAGATTTTCTCCATCTCCTGTTCTACTGTAGAGCACATGCTGGTTTGTATGGGATTCTCTTTCTGATAGCATACATTCTCTTCCAACTCCATCTTCCTTTGTAAGGTTTTAAACAAGGCTAGAATTTAGGACAAGTGTGAACACAGTTTTGACTAGACTCACTTTTTTGTTTCTTATCTGGGAGTAGACTCCAAGAGTGAAATTTCAAATCAAAGATTCCAGATGGACATATAGAAGCCTGACTTATTAATGGATCAATTTAACGCATGTTGTTTTGTTCCCCTTTGCATTTGCTTTGAACAGGATAATAAATGAACCCCTCATGGATCAGCTTCTAGTTACCATTCAGAAAACATTTAATTACAGCAAGATTCAGTCTCATCAGCTGTTTGCAATTATAATGGAGTGCATGAAAAAAAAAGAGCTTGTAAGTGTCTTGAATTTATTATCAAACATGCTCCACAGAGAGAATTATGTTTCCTTTCTAATTCCACCCATGTGTGCATGCAGCAGTTGTTCATATTTTGAGCTCAGCTTTTCCCAAGAAAGAGTTTACAAATCCAAACCAAACTGGTGTGTCCTGCCAGGTGATTTCCCCATTGATGGGAACAGAGTAAGTCCAAGCAGGGGAGGGACTGAGGTATCCCCAGACATTAGTAAATGTTAGGTGACATAACCCCAATCAGATCTGAAGAACTGAGAAGATATGACATCTACCACACCTCTAGGTGTGGTGACATTTTACTTTCTGAATATTTGCTTCCCACTCTGTCCACCCTCAATTGTGCTTAGAAGCAATGACCATTTTAGATGCACACATAAGACAGTCTTTCCCAAATTCCTAAAACAAATTCTATTTGAGTAGAGGTTACTGGAACTGTAATCACAGGATCATCAGTTCAAACCCACCAGCCACTCCGTGGGAGAAACTAGGCTTCAGAGACCCTGTACAGGGACTCAATAGTCTGAACCACTCAATTGCAATGGGTTTGGTGGTGGTGATGGCAGTCTAGATGTAGGAGTATACATCTTGAATGAGCTTCATTGGAGTGGTACACCTAACCATAAAACAAGAACCCAGACAAGGACTCAAAAGTCAAAAAGAACAATGCTGTAATTTTAGGAAATTGAAAGCCTTTTGGATGAAAACTATTTGGCTCATCACTGATTTCATTACGCATCAGTCTCTCTGTGGTATTTCTTTGAAAACCACCCCAACTCCCTGAGTCTTTGGGCCTCACTTGGCTTTAATTTGATGCTTTCACATTTAACCTATTTTCAGATCACCGTGTTTAGGATGGGCTCTGAAGGCCAGCAAGATGTTGAGATGGCAATTTTGACAGCCCTGCTGAAAGGTATGCTCCCAGGACATGCTGACCCTGTCCTGACCACACTGGTCTAACCTGGGGTTTCACTTGTGACCAAGAATGCCACCTTTCTCCTTCCCAACCGGAAAGTCAGCAGGCAGTGTGGAATTATTTTAGAATAAATTATGACAGAATGGCAGGGTCCTGGAGATGGGATTCTAGAAGTGGGGGGGCGTTCTGTGAGCACCAGTGGACCATGATGGCTAACCATGAAGGAAGTCACAACCTGTTTCAATGTTAGCTGACTCATGGAGGCTTTCAGCTCAGAGGCTGTAAACATCAAGCAGGTCTTCATTTACAACAACTACATCTGTGTGTTGTTTGTATCCATTGGACTCAGAGCATCTCTGGCTCTGCCCAAGTCCCGGTGCCTGCCTCTGTTAAGAGGGACTGCTCCAGTGTGCAGATGCCTGCCCTGCCACTCACAAGACTACGAGTGAACAGGCAGGAGAGAAGAAGGCTCTCTTCATTCCCCTTCAAGCTGGCAGTGACGCGTTACTCTTTGGGCACCCCTTTGGCCTGGAAGGAAGCAGCCCTTTTAGATGAGGATTTACCCAATGAAACTACACAGAATTGGGGTGGGAAGAGGTTGCCTTCACTTCCTCCTGGGCAAGTCTTTGAGGTAATCCAGGAGCAAGAGAAAAGCAGTTTGTACACCCCACCCTGGGAGTTCCAGCCAGCACTAAAACAGCCCGGGGCGGTCCATACTCACCACCAAGCACTCGCCAAGGCTGCAGTCCAGGCATGCAATCAACACTTCCGCTTGCTTCTCCTCTTTCCAGGAACCAATGCATCCGCTCCGGATCAGCTGAGTTTGGCCCTGGCTTGGAACCGCGTGGACATAGCACGAAGCCAGATCTTTGTCTTTGGGCCCCACTGGCCGGTGAAATACAGTTTATTTTTTCAATTCATAGCACCAATCGTAACTTTGTACATATGCTATATTAGTATATTCTCTCTGTGGCATGATTCTCATTAAATTACCTGGGGTTTCTGATTAGAACATGTTGCTATTAACTTGAATCCATCGATGCTGCCACTTGGCCAATCCATCTCGCTGGGGGTCTTCCTCTTTTTCTCTGACCCTCTACCTTACCAAACATGATGCCCTTTTCCAGCAACTGGTTCCTCCTGACACTATGTCTGAAGTATGAGAGATGAAGTTTGGCCATCCTGGTCTCCAAGGAGCACTCTGGCTGCACTTACTCCAACACAGATCTGTTGGTTCTTTTGGAAGCCCATGGCACTTTTAGTATTCTCCTCCAACACCATAACTCAAATGCATCAATTCTTCTATGATCATCCTTATTCACTGTCCAACTTTCACATCCATATGAGGTTATTGAAAATAACACGACTTGGGTCAGGTGTACCTGAGTCTTCTAGCTGACATCTTTGCTCTTCAACTCTGGCAGTTTTGAACTGCTGACCTAGAGATTTGCAGCCCAACTTGCAACCACTACACTACCAGAGGTTCTCGGAGGGTGAGGGGAGGGAGGGTAGAAGGTTGTTTAAATGTTGATCCTCTAAGGTGGCTCTGTGTCCGCACCAGCACAATGTCCCTGTCTTCTCCACCTGACTAAGGGACTTGTCAAGGCCAAGGGGATAAAGGTTCTCTCTCCTGCTCTCTTGAGCAGAGCACATCTTTCTTTCAATGTTTGTCCATCTGTAACCTCATTCCATACAACTCAGTAATATCCAGGTGTACTGGGTTGAACAGTGTTCTTTCCAAAGTATATGTCCTTTCTGTACCTAAGATGTGACCTAATTCGGAAATAGTGTCGTTGCAATTTTATTAGATAACATGAGGTCATAGTGCAGTAGGGTGGCCCCTAATTCATTATGATTGGTGTCTTTATAAGAACAGAGAAGACACAGAGACAGACAGACACACAAGAACACCATGTACCAACATGAATAAAGAATGAAGATATGCATCTACAAGCTAAGAAACACCAAGGATTGCTGGCAACCACCAAAACCTGGAAGATGTAATATATATATATATATTCTTCTCTAGAACTTCTGATGGAAGTTCTTCTGACACCTTGATTTCAGACTTCTAGCCTCGACAACTCTGAGAATACATTTCTGATGTTTAAAGTAAGCAAAATTGTGTTCTCCAGCCAAGCATATATATTTTCCATATACCTATCAGTGTAACAATGGTTCATTGTATCAACAGCTTCTCCATCCACCAGACAGACCTGCTGTGACCAAGTGTGTAAGTGCGTGTGTATGTATGCATATGCTATGTATGCATATGCATGTATCCACGTGTGTGTGTGTGTGTGTGTGTGTGCTGATAAGAGGGGCAAGAATAATTAAACTTATCTTTAGAGAAGAGACAGCTTTAATATTTCTTCCAAACTTTGTTTGCTGTCTACTGCAGCCCTTGGGAAGTCTGGTACCGCCAACAGATAGCAAGGTCACAGAGAAAGAGAAGAAGCCACCTTCAGCAACCACCCACAGGGGCAGAGGAAAGGGTAAAAAGAAAGGGAAAGGGAAAGAGGAAGTGGAAGAAGAAACTGATCCTCGGAAGATCCAGCTATTGAACTGGGTAAGGAGTAAATCTTGGGGCTTGAGTTTGCAATCACCTTCTTTCTCAAGTGGGAGAGGCAGTTCTTATTGCTTGGTCCCAACTCGGAACCCCAAAGTCCCAAGACAGGAGTAATCGAAGATGGAAGAGAGAGCATCCTTATTTCACACAGGTTTTGTTGTTGTTGTTAGGTGCCATCGAGTCAGCACTGACTCATAGTGACTATGCACAACAGAACGAAACACTGCCTGCTTCTGGGCCAGCCTCACAATCGTTGCTATACCTGAGCTCATTGCTGTCTCCACTGTGTTAATCCATCTCATTGGGGTCTTCCTTTTTTTCTCCGACTCTCTACTTTGCCAAACATGATATCCTTCTCCAGGGACTGGATATGCCTCCTGATGATATGCCTGAAGTATGAGACATGAAGTCTGGCCATCAGATAGGCTAGTGAAAGCTTAACAACAACAATGACAGTTATTGCATTGGAATGGATTTGACAGCATGGGTTTTACAACTGCCTTCAATGTGGCACTCATGTAGATAAAGCAGCATTCTCCCTGCCTTTAGGGTAAAGAGGCCACCAAGAGTGAATATCCTGGTGACAGTGGCTCTCTCTGCCTAGTGGACATGTACTTGTTTAATTCATGAAAATATGGTGAACAAACCAATTATTACTTAATATGTGCAATTCACTGAACCAGATCTTTTTGAAGGATGATGCCCATGATTGGGTGTGTAGAGACAGTGGCAGCTGTGTAGACTGAAGGCTGGAGTCAGCGTATCACACAGCAGGTCTTGCGTAGGGGCTGCCAAGATAGCAATGACATGAGCTCTTCAGTGACCTGCGTGTAACAAGCACATTGAGTACCATAGGAACACAGAGTGTGCTACTCGCCAAACTAGAATGTAGGACATTGTCTCTGTGGACTGTCCCATGAGAGCATGGTCCTAAGCCTCCAGATCTGAGTGGCAACCCAGAGCTCTCTCAGTCAAGAAAGCAAACTGGAAATTGAAGTGAGCAAGGCCACTATGGCTGCAATTTTAATTTTTCTTCCATTTGTTTTTAAAAGGAGAATCTAATTTACAAACTTTGATACCTTGATAGGATGTATCAGGGCTGGATGTAGATGGAAGAAAGAGAGGAGACAGTAAGAGCAAAGAGAAACACGCTCAGAACACTCCAGGACCTGGGAGACAGAGTACTCTCTTGTGGTGCTTCCATTGTCCTGCTGCCTCGTGTCTCTAAGAGGCTTTTATGGTCCTGTATCCTTGGCTCCTGCAGGCAAATGCTTTGGAGCAAGCAATGCTGGATGCACTGGTGTTAGATCGTGTTGATTTTGTGAAGCTTCTGATTGAGAACGGAGTGAACATGCAGCATTTCCTCACCATCCCAAGGCTGGAAGAGCTCTATAACACAGTGAGTCTTCTAGGTGGCAGGAGACAGAAAGGTACAATTTGTGCATGTTGGGAATGAATGGGCTCTGATGAGCACAGAATTATAGCTAGGGCAGGATTTCAGGGAGGAGTATTAATAGTTCATAGAGTCTACTTATTTCCTTCCTGCTGCTGGTCACAGACAATTCACATTTTTACAGGCTTTCACACTGGCCAGCTACACATCCCTTTCTCCAGCAGTCTCAATACTTATTGAACACTCGAGTGTGATACAAGGGAAAAAAATCCATTGCCAAGGAGCTGACTCCAACACATGGCGTGTGTTACAGATTAGAACTGCTCCAGGGGGGTTTATGGGCTGTCATTTTTTTTTTTACATTATAGACTGTGGAAGGTCCTGGTGTGGTACTGTAGGATAAGCACTGATTCAAACCCATCAGCCACTTCTCAGAAACCACATACAGGGTTGCTATGAGTCAGAACCACTTCCACAGCACTTAACAATGACAACGTTATACAATGTATTCATTAACATGAGAAACAACTAAAACAAACTCCAAAACAGTACATTTCATTAAAAAATCATAGAAATAGTATATACAGACATTATGTATGTAAAACCATACAAAGAGTATGTTCACTTATCCTATTTCTGGAGTGGTAAATTATTTTTATTTTCTTTGTGATTTTTTATATCTTTCTTACACTATTTTGTATTTTGTCATTTTAGTTGTTGTTGTTGTGTGCCGTGGAGTCAGTTCCAACTCATAGTGACCCCGTACAGGGTTTCCGAGGCTGTAACTCTTTACGGGAGAAGAAAGCTTCATCTTTCTCCTGCGGAACAGCTGGTAGTTTCTAACTGCTGACCCTGAGATTAGTAGAAGAAAGCTTCATCTTTCTCCTGCGGAACAGCTGGTAGTTTCTAACTGCTGACCCTGAGATTAGTAGTCCAATTCATAACCACTACACTACCAGAGCTCCTTGAATTTTGTCGTAGTGAGGTACAAATACAACCTTCCCATACTGTTTTATATGAGCCTCAAGAACCCTCTCTCTTATCTGTTTTGTTTTGGTTTTATTTGTTTTTTAACTTTTCATTGTGAATTGGGTGAGGATTTACAGAGCAATCAGTTTTCCATTCAGCAATTCATACACATTTTGTTTCCTATCACTGACTGCGATTTTCACAATGTAACAGCATTTGTACCACAGCCTGTGTTTCCCATTTCATTTCCCATTTCACTCCTATCCTAACTTTTCCTGCCTTCTGAACTTTGTCCTCAGACAAATGCCACCCTTTGGAGCTCACATGGTTGATTGTTCTAAGGAGGTGTACCTCCCTAGTGTCATTGTTTGCCTTACAGATCTGTCGTTTGACTGAAAATTGAGTCAAATGCATGAGAGTTTAGTTCTAGGCCTGAAAGGTCACTAAGAGCCAGAGTTCCAGGATTCTACCAGTCTCTATCCAATCAGTAAGTCTGATCTTTTTGTGATTTTGCATTTAGTTCCACAGTTTCCTCCCACTCTATCCAGGACCTTCCATTGTGATTTCCTTCAGAGCGGTTGGTAGTGAGTGCTGGGCACCATCTAGTTCTCTTGGTCTCAGAGTTGTGGAGCTTGAGATTTATGTGATCCATTAGAACTTTGGGATAATTGGTTCTCTATGTCTGATTTACTTCAATTCTCTTTCATCCAGATGGGGAAACACAGATAGTTGCCCCTTAGATGGTCACTCACAAACTTTTAAAATTCCAGTTGCTACTCACCAAACTAGGATGCAGAACATTGTCTTTGTGAACTGTGTTGTGCCGATTGGACTTACTGTCCCATGAGAGCATGGTCCTGGGCCTCCAGATCCAGCGACTCAGTCTCTAAAAATATTTGGTTATAAAGGTGAAGTTTTTATAACTTTGGCACCTGTATACGCTACTATAGTCATGGATTTATTTGCAGCATGTTGCTGCTAAGTGCCATTGAGTCAGTTCTGACTCATAGCAACCTTGCATAGGGTTTCCAAGGAGCAGCTAGTGAGTTTGAACCATCAATCTTATGGTTCAAACCCACCTTTCAGTCCAGTGCTTATCCTACAGTGCCACATTAAGGACTTCTATTTGTAGCCTAGGTAAATATGTATGTAGAAATATCTTCTGTCAAACATACATATATTTGTGAGTAGAGTCCCATTCTCTTCCCCACTCCTGTTCAGCTTTCATGTTTATCTGCTCATTGTTGTTGTTGTTGTTGTTAGGTGCTGTCGAGTCAGAACCAACTCATAGCGACCCCATGCACAGCAGAACGTAATGTCCGATCCCGGGCCAACCTCTCTAC